CATCCTCCTCCTGCCCTAACAGTAATCGTCATCCCCACAATAGAAAATCTTCAACATATATCTTAATTTCGTTATAGGTTGTGCAGTAAGCGACTCACCCTTGGTAGTCTCAGGAGTATGGGAGCCGTGATGGTGACCGCCGCCGCCGTGTCGTCTGGAGCAGCCACAGGGACGCACTTTACTGCGAGCCTCCGTGGCCAGTGTGGGACCCTGAGGGCAGGTGGTGGTCCTGGTGGGGGGCGAAGACCCCTTTCCGATGCTGGCTGTCCTCTTGGGTGCTTGTGAGCGAGTAGGCGAAGACTTTCCTGAGGCAGGACTGGAGGGCGCCCGGCCTGTAGGGGAGTTCTTCGTGGGTGCAGATGTAGCACCCACACTCAAGGTGGTAGGCCGCCGCCCCTTGTTACTACCTGCAGAAGGCGGGGATGAAACACGTTGCCCATTGGCTGAGGAGGGCGATGTTTGCTGGAACCCCATAGTGACGATCACGACGGACTGAGGTGCACGTCAGATATACAGCGGCAAACTGTTGAAGACCAGCAGTGTGTGACGACCTACCTGCGACAGAACCTCACAGGTACAGTTACGGAGATACAGGTATAGAGACACGGGTACAGGTACAGGGAGCTCGAGGATACAACACACGTGACGCAGACGACGCTACACACACATCGCCTGGCTCAACCTTCACCCGCGACGCTCTCACCTACACTGCTCACAATCCTTCCCTCACACTTCACCTGACCCATACCCTGCACCTGCTCACCACGCCCACACCTACTACCACGTCCACGCCTACTTCCACGTCCCTCACCACGCCCCCGTCCTTCACCACTCCTCTCATGATAACCCTCCCCCCCCACGGCAGGTATCCCCAAGACATGAAAGAGTTCTCCACCGTGTGTACCTCTGTCTAATTGTTTACTCTACCTGGATCACCTGAAGATTAGCCCCCAGCTTATTTTACCGTAACCTAACCTAACCTAACCTAACCTAACATCATCTAACCGAACCTAATCTAATCCCCCAAAAAATGAAAAACAAGAGATACTGTTCTTGTATATTAAAAACACTGCGTATAATCATCACCATCTGTTTCATTAGGATTAGTTTTATATGTGAGATGCGTCAGGTAACATTATTATTAAGCACAATTCATTGAAACTTAACATCTTTATCAGAAAACGTTGGTGAGATTAAGGCAGTGACTAATCTATTGTGGGTCACTTATCTGCTAACTTTACACTACTAAATAATCATTCGATAGGCTTTAATTTATACAAGATAACTTTTAAGAATAGAGGTTGATAATAAGTAGTGTACTGAGGATATAAGTGAACACCTTAAGAACACTTGTCAGGTGTCAGGTGATGAAGGTTAGCCACTTTAGGATGGTACTTGGCGAGGTTACTGTGGGCCAACCTATGTGTGGTCCGTCGCAGCCCACACACCCTACCTCAACCCTCTCACAACACACCAACACTCTTTCTGTTTTTGTTCACAGGTAACCCTAAAAAGTGCTGCTGTAGGAGGCGATGAAGGACACGAAGGTAAACTTAAGTCATACTCAAGATCTTAGATAAACGCTACACGACAAACGTTCATTAATCTACAGTGTTTTAGTTATATAAATATGGTCTGTACTATATTAACTTATATCTTTGTTCCACAGGCTATAAAAATCCTGGCTAGTTGCAAAATAGTTCTCACAATCCTACTGTTCATTCCCATTGTGGTAGGTTAGGTTGGGTCAGGTTAGGTTAGGTCAGGTCAGGTCAAATTGTACTTTAGGCTTTGGCTGTTGTCTTACCTTGGAGATGGTGAGGAAGTGATGGATGAAGTTCTCTGTCATGCGTGATGGATGAAGTTTTCAGTGACGGGTGAAGGATGACAGATGATGTTCTGCATGACGGTTGAAGGATGACTGATGAAGATTTCCATGACGGGTGACTCCTGCTGTTGGTCTACCCGCGCTGTGATCGATACATTTCAATAAATACAGAGTTTTCCTCAGATTAAATAATAATAAGGATTAGTATATCCAAGAACAACCAATAAAAATCAAGAATAATAATTGTAAGTCTAAAACACTGAAATTACCTGCATTATAAAAAAAATAGTTTAGTTAATGTTACAATTTAGTTTTCTTTGAATCGTTGTAAAAAGAAAACAAAATTTTATAGGATAACTATTATAAAAACGTTTAAAAGATTCTCGGCACAATGGATAAGCACGTAACAAGAACCCTGTATATATTCACTTAAAATATTATATACTTAAACACTCATACACTTAGCTAGTACAGTTTTATGTTATGTTATGTTTACTATTTCTATCATTATTATTATCGTATTTTTTCAGTGTTACATCACCAGTGGCGTAGCGGAAGGGGGGTGGGGGGGGGGGGCGAGCAGAGCGACCTATTTTTACTTTTTGGTGTGGAGTTGTGGGCGACTACTGAAAATTATCAGTAATAAATAAGAGCAAAAATAATCAAATTAATAATTAAACACCTGCCATAGGTATTGGGGCCAAAAACTCAATATTAAGCACAATTACACACAGGGGTAAGGCCTGACATAATGGGTGACCTGTATGACAAGAAAATATGATTCACAATACTTAAGGTTCTGTGATCGCGGTTTACACTCGGTTGGCTGCTCAGGTCCACAAGATATTAGATCACAGGCGACCCTTGTAAGTGCTCCACATGTCAGGGGGGTGGCATAGTTCAAGGTGTGACAAGAGTATGGTTACAGTAGTTTAGCTTGTTGAGGAAGACCAGTTTATAAGACCCTTCATGTAACAATATAAATTACATGTGTTTATTTGTCAATTATTCTAAAGAACCAATATTTTCCTCTACTGTACGTTATATGACTCATTTAGGTAACACAAAAATATTACATAATTACATTTGGTTTTATAATACTGTACTGTAATAAAAAAAAAGATGACGGACCCACAACACTGAAGCCATCCCCGTCACTCCCTCCTCTATATAGGGATACAACATACCTCACCAGCAAGTCACTTGTTCCTCTGAAGCCGAGTCCTCCCCCACACATACTGACAGCCGAGTCTTCCCCCAACCATGCTGACAGCCGAGTCCTCCCCTAAGCATGCTGACAGCCACCCTGGACTGCTGTTAAGATAGAGCCTTACAAGATGACATCACGTGCATAAAGAGCAAATATTTCTTCACACATCAGAGCTAAATGTACAAACTGAGCCTCGTGGAGATCGATGCTAATCCACTTTCTACCCATGCCCATGAACACGTTTGTATCTATATGGAGCAATAAAACATCAGTGTCATCATATGTAACGTGACCATGATGATATTTGTAGTTCATCACCAGGTTAGTTATGTTGGGTTATGTTTTGTTAGGTTATGTTATGTTAGAATAGGATAGCATAGGTTAGGTTAGCTGTTGTTAGAGTGGGCTAGGTTAAGTTAAGTTTGTTAGATTATGTTGTTAGAATGGGTTAGGTTAGGTTTTGTTAGATTATGTTAAGTTAAAATAGATTAGGTTTGAAACTGTTATTTACATTAGGTTAGGTTACGTCTCCAAAACAACGACAACAAACACAGTCATACACTCTTTATTTACTCATACAATCGTAAACAACAAGTAAACATCTCAATTAATTGGTTAATATTTACAGTTTTATCTAAATTGATTCCCAAGTCAAGGTAGAGAGGTGTGGCTAAGGAAGAAGAAGAAAAAGAAGAATTATGTCATCAAAAACTAATACAAATAACAATAACAACAATAATAACAATACCGGGTCACATATATATAGATATATATAAAAGTCACTGGGGCACAAAAACAAAAAGAAAAGAAAATTAAGAAAAAGAAAAACATAATCGATACTTTGATTAATGGCTCTAAACTCTTTTGTCCACTCCCTTTTGGACTCTTAATAAGCCCTGATAATAATGATGATAAATTAAGCTCATCTCACCAGTAGACGAGAATATACCATCGTTTTTAAATTGTTGATATCAATATATATTTGATTCACGTAACATAAACACTGAAATTGAGTCGTACTATCACATAAATTTGATTCACATGACATACACAGTGGATTTGAGTCATTATTGTTTCACAGAGATTTGATTCACATGACATACACAGTGGATTTGAGTCATTATTGTTTCACAGAGATTTGATTCACATGACATACACAGTGGATTTGAGTCATTATTGTTTCACAGAGATTTGATTCACATGACATACACAGTGGATTTGAGTCATTATTGTTTCACAGAGATTTGATTCACATGACATACACAGTGGATTTGAGTCATTATTGTTTCACAGAGATTTGATTCACGTGACATACACAGTGGATTTGAGTCATTATTGTTTCACAGAGATTTGATTCACATGACATACACAGTGGATTTGAGTCATTATTGTTTCACAGAGATTTGATTCACGTGATATAAACAATGAATTTGAGTCACTGTATCACATATTTGATTAAAATGATATAAACTATGGATTTGAGCCATTATTGATTCACATAACAAACAGTGAATGTAATTATTCTCACATAAATTTGATTCACATGACAAACAACGGAGATTTTGTCATTATTGTCTCACAAATTTGATTCACATGACAAACAACGGATTTTTTGCATTATTATCTCACATAAATTTGAATCAAAACAAACTTGACTTAAGAGGGAAAGAATCGAGTTAATTTGTTCAATGGGAAGGTTGAGTTTATTCCTTCTTAAGATGGAATAGATCACAAAACATTAACTAATTTCAGTTTTCAAGATTTTTGTGTGTAATATTTTCCAACTTTTCTTAGCCCCGCCGTGGGAGGTGTGCTGAAGGTTAGGTTAGGTTAGGTTAGGATAGGTTAGGATAGGATGATAGGTTACGTTAGGATAGGTTAGGTTATGTTATGATAGGATTAGGCTAGGATAAGTTGAGTTCGGTTAGGTTAAGTAGGTTAGGATAGAATAGGTTAGGTTAGGTTAGCATAAGTTGAATTAGTTTAGGATAGGTTAGGTTAGGCTTGGATAGGGTAGCATAAGCTGAGTTAGTTTAGGTTAGGTTAGGTTAGGTTAGGTCGGGCGCGGTCACTCGGTCAAGAGATACAGTGTTGTGTTGTCGGTAAGGCCCAGTTCAGTCAAGGACTTGGTAAGGTCCTGCTCATCGAGGTCGCCTTGTGCTACCACCATGCGTCTCCCCCCCACCCGCGTGTTGCCTACCACCTGCAGGAGCTCCCCCAGCGTCTGTTCACGAGGACTAGACACCAAAAGTAATGAGTCATCAGGAAGCCTAAAGTACACATTAATCTCGTCTCCCTCCTCTTCTTCTTCATCCTCCTCCCGCTTCTCTTCACCCTCCTCCTCCTCTTCTTCCTCCTCCTCCTCTTCTTCCTCCTCCTCTTCTTCTTCCTCCTCCTCCTCTTCGCTCTCATTGGCAGTTGCTGGTGTTAAACGTCCACTATGTTCTGTTACGTCACTGTCTTTGTTGAGTTCAGAACTTTCCTGCGTTGAACTTACTCCACGGTTTGTGAGGTCACTGGCACGGCGAGAAGGACGCTCCTCCCACTCGCAACTGTGTGCAGATTTAACGTCACATAAGTCACTCTCACCCTGCAATGATCTATTAGCATTTCCAACGGTGTCACTGTCACTGCCGAGCGGAAGTGACTCTAGGGCAGAGTTTCCTGCAGAAGTTTCTTTAGTATCGTCACATTCTCTCTCATCGTCACTAGCATCACTGTTTATGAGAGGCTGAAGGTCTTCCTGTTCACAACTTTCTAAGTGTTTAGTGTTATGGTAGTTGTTGACACTGAGCGTCAGCTGGGGGAGGGTGTAGGCCTCGACAGCCTCAGTCCTGCCATAGCGGGTACTCGGACGAGACTTCAAGAGACCATCCCTGGCGTGTGAGAGGAACTCCGCTAAGGGCTTACCTTCTATGCTGACAGTAACGGTGTGTGTCGGGGTCTTGCTTGACTCACCTCTTTCACACGAGCCATCAATTACCGGCAACTCCATCATATGAGTGTCAATAACATCAAAAGTTCTGCTCCGGATCATTGGCGGCGGTTCGAATTCCGGGTGTTTGTTATTGTTGGTGTCCATCACTGCCGACCCCTGGTGCAGGGAGGAGATAGCCGGAAGGGGTTCGTATCTGGTGATACCGGAGCTTCGAGCCCTCGAGGGGGGCGAGTTCGCCAAGATATTTTCAACGTCCGCATTGTCCTTAAGCTTCCTGAACACATAAGTAGCATTAAGATCTGTGACGGAGGAAGCGTTCTTTGCCAAAGACGCCATCCGTTGGGGAGGAAGACCCGCCCTGGTAGCGGTGGAGGACGGTACGCGACTTGAAAGAGAGCCTTTGAAACTCCTCTCCAAAATATTTTTATCCAAGGCGTATGCGTCCGACTGTACGCTGGAGGAAGACTTTAGAGAGACTCTGTCCATGCCCTTGGTGGGAGAGCGGTTGAGGAGAGCCTTTCTGAGGGAGGAGGCGGATTCGAGGCGTCGCAGGTCGGCTGGGCTGGGGTGCCAGCTCCGTGGGGGCGGTGGTTCATACCAGTGACGCTCCGCCGTCATGACTTAACCTGCCGGGGAAAACACAGTGAATAATGAGAATAGCCACCTAACTTTAACCAAATTATATCACCTCCTTGTATTCTAATAATAAAAATAACAATAATAATAATAATTATAGCACCACCATCAACAACTACAATAAGAACACAAGAACATAAGAAAATAAGGAGTCTGCAATAGGCCGGTTGGCCTGTGCATGGCAGCTCCTGTCGAGAGTTACTACCACTCTCTATCATCCATGAATCTATCTAGCCTCCTTTTGAAACTTTCCAGAGTTCCCGCACTTACTACAAAGTTGCTAAGCTTGTTCCACTCGTCCACCACCCTATTTGTGAACCAGTTCCTTCCTATCTCCCTCCTAAACCTGAACTTATCCAACTTGAATCCGTTGCTCCGAGTCCTATCCTGCTCGGATATTATAAGAACTTTATCTATATCCCCTTTATTGATTCCTTTCACCCACTTAAATACTTCTATCATATCTCCCCGCACTCTTCGTCTTTCTAGGGAATGCAAGTTAAGTTTCTTTAACCTATCCTGATATGGAAGGTTTCTAAGTCCCGGAATCATTTTTGTCATTCTTCGCTGCACCGACTCTAGTGAATTTATATCCATTCTATAATAGGGGCACCAGAACTGAACCGCATAATCGAGGTGCAGCCTGACTAGCGCAAGATATAGTTGCAATAAGACCTCTGCACTCTTGTTACTTACACTTCTAGATATAAAACCCAATAGCGGTGATAATAACTCAATTCTCAGAATAGAATAAAGATAAATACTAGGATACACAGTATACAGTATTAGTCCACCTGAATGCATGTAGTAATTAACTGATCACATCATTGCAGGTAGCAGCAACAGGTGAACCATAGATCTTGTACCCTGCTGTCCATCCCACCGATAGTCGACTCAAGCGGTATGCAAAGTTTTGTGGTTACGTCAGCATCCTATGAGGTCAAACCGGATAAAAAAAGATTCAATTAAGCACTGAACCTGACCTATAAATTAATAAGGTCAATTAAGATCAAATAATTATAAGTAATTAATATATAATTGAAATGTTATATTGTTATAAATTAATAAAATGACTGCATGGAAATCGTTAGGAAAATGTTAGCGTTTGTTCACCTGATGATTAATTAAACACCTCAATGATGCTACCTGAAAGATTAGGTTAGGTTAAGTTAGATGATATTAGGGTAAGTGAAGTTAGGTTAGGCTAGATTAAGTGAAGTTAGGTTAGATGCCATTAGGTTAGGTTAAGTTGGATTAGGTTAGGGTAGGCCGAGAATCATTCAATTTTCGACCATCGTCAGTGATAACGGGAAGAGATTCGCCCATAAGTTTAGTCAGTCTAAATAAATAATTAAGTCACAGGGACCACCAACAAACTTGTCACGGTCAGGTACCACACACACACACTTTCGACTCTCACTGACCATCACCACGGCCTCATCTGCAAATTTGGTAAGAAGCTTCTACACCATCCCCGACACCGGCCCCTACTACCACCTGAGATCCCCTGTCCGAGAATTGCTGTTCGACACCACAACCGCATCCAGCCCATACGTGCACGAACTGATCGCTATAAGAACAGCCCAGTCCCAACCATTGTAAAAATTATCAATAACATGTAATAAATCAGTGTATTCACTCCCAGTAAACACTGCTCCCTACACTGTCACTATGTTGAAATGAACTGTAGTTTGAGCTGATCCCCATCTAAGTTACTATATGTCTTATTTGTGTCACTTATGTCACTTGTATATTATTTGTAATTCGTAACCCATTCCCCAAATATGTAACTGTATATTTTCAGCCTTCTGGCTGCCAAGCTCTTTCAATAAACCGTTAATTATTATTATTATTATTATTATTACACACACACACACACACACACACACACACGTGTCATCAACATCTGTGCTTTACCAAAGTTTCGTGTCGTGTTCTGTTGAGTGTACTCTCTCACTTTAGCTGTCCATCTCTCTCTCTCTAGATATAAGTACCACTTTTTACAACTACTTGGTGTTTCCTCGGTGAAGCAGGATAATGCGTCGTGGCAATAATGTGACGTCACTCGCAGGCGATCAGTCGTGCTTGAGAGCTGAAGACGTCGACACGCTCGCCACTGACCAAACACAAGTCTCGCGTGTATATTATAAACAATTATTAGTAACTTTTCGTATTTAATAGACTATGAAGATTTCCCCATATTTTCTCACCATAAGATTAACCATCCTAACGCTAATCTATCCCAGGGCCGGATTCAGGAGTGGGCAAAGTGGGCAGCTGCCCAGGGGCCTCCACATATTACAATATTTTATTTATTTGTTTATTCATTTGGATTATTTTTATTTTCATTCTTTAAAATTCATGTTTATCTATTCCATCACGTAAAACTATGTTCAGCAAGAAGCGTGATAGAAATTAGGCGAGCTACTCCTTGAAATTCATGAATACTGTACCTGGTTTTCCTATGAGCCGTATATTTTTAATGAATGCTATTGTTTGTGTTGCTAATAATATATTTAGAATTCCACAAACATTATCCATGGTCGATGGCAGTTATTTTTATTAAAATTCTTGTTTTTTCCAACATGTTCATACTTTTGTTATAATTTTATCAAATTCATTAAATTGTTTATTTGTTTTACTATTGGATGCAAAATTTCAATTTAATTTATAGTTGAGTTAATACTTATTCTGAATCTATCTGACCTTGGACTTAAAGAAGCCAATACATGCATTCTTGGACAGAACCATTATCTGAGTAGAAGTTTATCTGATTAATAAAGCAAAGAATCATCTCTGTAAAAACTAATAATATATTCTTTTCTGTGAAGTCTCTTGAAAATTTTTGACGTGCGGTAGTAGCTATATCAGGGCTGGTCGACTTGAAACCACATGAATGACTCCAGTCACGTCTCACTTTTGTGTGTGTGTGTGTGTTGGGAATTTGTACACTATCAATAAATATACAGCTAATCAAAAATTTCTCAATGTTCTAATTTCCTCAATATAACTGCATATGGCTTCAAAATTCTCCAAAGAAGTGTTCAAATTTAAAAAATTTCCCGGGGGGCTTACAGCTCCCCCCGGAACTCCCAGATGTTTAGGCTCGCTTCACTCGCCACCCCACCCTCTTGGGTAATTATAATGAGGGGGGGCCTCCACAAAGAGGCTGCCCATGGGCCTCCACAGGTCTAAATCCGGCACTGATCTATCCGAACCTAACCCCCAGGTAGCGTTAGGGAAGTTCAATCATAAGGTAAAATAAACTGGGACTGACGTTCACGTGGCGCAAAAATTACCGCAGATATTAATAATAATAATAATAATAATATACAGTTTTAATAAATACACACAGCAAATTTACACATAATTATATTGTACACAGTTACTACACTATGCACCGTGCCACACTACACTATGCTCATATATGAATGTAGACCGTTCGTGGGCAGCAGATCGATCCACCTCTACTGTTTACCTGCGACCACTCCCATGCGCGCCCACACACGCCACACACACAGTACATTGAAGCTCAGCGGGCCCTAGTGATCAACTCTAGGGTTCGAATCTGGGAAAAGTGGTTCAGTCCTTGGTGTTCCAATCTGGGAGGAGGAAAATTTAACTTAGGAATCTTTCATAATCCATCTTAACCTAATTCGATATAATTTAACCTAACCTAATCTAATCTAATCTAACTTAACCTAACTTGACTTAATCTAACCAAACCTAACCTATTCTGATCTATCATCTAATCGAATTTAACCTAACGTGAACCACAGGTGACCGAATTCAACTTAACCTAAATTGACCTAACTCAACCTAACCTAACCTAACTTAATTTCATCGAATGTTACAACCAACCTGTGTTTTCTAGTCAAGAGAGAGAGAGAGAGAGAGAGAGAGAGAGAGAGCACAGTACACAATAACAACAAATTCCTGGAAATAAACACGCACTACACGACACACACACACAGGGAGGGGGGGGGGGTGTTAATAAGGTGTTAAGTGACCGTATATTATGATTGAATCTCAGTCTAATTCTTACGTTATTCTTACACGATATCTTGGTGTCTTATCGCAGTTCAATCAGATGGGTATAATATTAAACCTTGGCTAACGAGCATACTAATGATTACACGAACTGGATGATTAGAACGACTTCCCTTCCATGGCACGATCAATAACACCAGCCTAGCGTGATTATTGTATTGTACGTCTGTCAGCCCCGTTATCCACATTTGTGACGATAGTAATAGCGATATTTAAGAGATTACCTGAAGATTAGTTCCTGATGTAACACCTTAATGCCACTTACCTGGGGGATTAGGTTAGATCAGATTAAGGAAGCATTAGATTAGAGAAGCGTAAGGTTAGGCTAAGTTGGCAATAAGGTGTTTAATCACTAGGTGTAATAAGTTTGGAGGAAGGGGAGACATAACCACCCACAGATGTTTTAAGCTTATGAATTTTCTTGTGTCCAAATCTTATGTTACTGTATATTGCAGCAAGTTACGTGGAGTTAGTGTGTTTGATATCAGTACTATGTGTGTGTGTGTGTGTGTGTGTGTGTGTACAATGCGTGCATGGGAGTGTAAATGAGTGTATGTATCTTTATTTGTACTTGTAAATGTGTCTAAGTGTATGTATGAGTGAAGGTATTTGTGTCTGTAGCTCACAGGTACACATGTGTATATCTGTGTATGTACGATTTTTTTTTAGCCTAGCTCCTAACACGATTATCAATACGTATTTCTCTCTCACTAACACATAACACACACACACACACACACACACGAGTTGGTCGTCAACCGATCCAATGAATATTTCACCGCAGTAAGTATTGATGTTATACTAGTATGTTGACTGTGTATGTATGTATGTATGTATGTATGTATGTATGTATGTATGTATGTATGTATGTATGTATGTATGTATGTATGTATGTATGTATGTATGTATGTATGTATGTATGTACTGGGGTCAGAACATCAGAAGTAACAACAGCAGGAGTATTTCATATCGTGTGTTCCTTTATGTAAACACTAGGCTGTCTCTCCTCTCACCAACCTCGGGCTCAAGGTAACTATCGACCTTCACCGGCCATCAGAGGCGCTCCTGCCTCTGATGGCTGGTCAAGGATGAGTATTCCCATTATGATATTGTACACGCACGGTATAATGGTAGGGATGATTTATTAAACAAAGTTAATTCTTTTTAACCTAACCTAACCTAACCAAAACCAAACGTAACCTAACGAAAAACCAAACCTTACCTAAGCTAACCAAACCAAACCTTACCTAAGCTAACCAAACCAAACCTTACCTAAGCTAACCAAACCAAACCTTACCTAAGCTAACCAAACCAAACCTTACCTAAGCTAACCAAACCAAACCCAACCAAACCAAACCTAACCAAACCAAACCTAAACTAACCAAACCAAACCTTACCTAACCAAACCAAACCTACCTAAGCTAACCAAACCAAACCTTACCTAAGCTAACCAAACCAAACCTTTCCAAACCAAACCTACCTAAGCTAACCAAACCAAACCTTACCTAAGTTAACTAACCAAACCAAACCTTACCTAAGCTAACCAAACCAAACCTACCTAAGCTAACCAAACCAAACCACCTAACCAACCAAACCTACCTAAGCTAACCAAACCAAACCTTACCTAAGCCAACCAAACCAAACCTTACCTAACCAAACCAAACCTTACCTTAAGCCAAACCAAACCTTACCTAAGCTAACCAAACCAAACCTTACCTAAGCTAACCAAACCAAACCTTACCTAAGCTAACCAAACCAAACCTTACCTAAGCTAACCAAACCAAACCTTACCTAAGCTAACCAAACCAAACCTTACCTAAGCTAACCAAACCAAACCTAACCTAAGCTAACCAAACCAAACCTAACCTAAGCTAACCAAACCTAACCTAACGTATTGTAAGCTAACCAGACATATCAACTCATCTGGTGACATTTTCTCAGTGACGTCGACCAGTGAGGGTTTCGTGGTATTGGTCAAGGTTTAATTCCTCACATACCTGCCGTGTGTGTGTGTGTGTGTTCATGTGTCTGTGTGTGTTAAGGGAAACATTTATACACAAACACACACACACACAGGTAGAATAGATAATTGCCATCAAGAAAACCATAGTTACCTACACAAGTTACTGTAGACGTTTGGCTCAAGACTACATCAATATACGTCTGACGATTCATAATAACCAAACCTAACCACAGACATGACACAGTTTCTGACATGAAGTAATATTATATCATGTAAAATTATAAAACTAGTTCACCTTGAATCACCAGGTATACAATTTGCAGACAGTGCAGGTATACAATGTACATAGACAGTGCAGGTATACAATGTACATAGTGCAGGTATACAGTGTACATAGATAGTACAGGTATACAATTTGCATGACAGTGCAGGTATGCAATTTGCAGGCAGTCCAGGTATACAATTTGCATAGACAGTGCATGTATACAATTTGCATAGACAGTGCAGGTATACAATGTACTTAGACAGTGCAGGTATATCAAGTGTATTGGAGTATTTTAAAGTTGCTGTCATTAATATTTTGCTTCTAGTGCTTATTTACTGACTAACTGCACGTACTTGACACCCTGTAACTTGCCAAGCTGTTGGGTAACTCCGCATAACTTTCCGATTTCTTGTGAAGTTGAAGGTAAAAGTTTCATGTTGTTATGGAGAGTATCGTTGTTTTCAAAATATCGCCAATAACAAGAAACTATTTACAAAGAATGGCATTACATAACACTTTCCTTTTCTTTTTTTAGCTTACAACTTTTATAATTATGTGTATAGCAACAAAGTTCAAATGAATTACGTTATCTCTTTTTTCCTTTTCCCCTGGGGACGTGATAAGCCTCATCAGTCATCACCATGCAGATTTAACCTTTATTACTCAGGAAATTAGAAAATCTTATTCATTCCGCCATCTTCTTTCTTCAGATGAATTACACAAAACACGAAGGTATATCCAGACAACAAGGAGTAATTTCAGCAGTTAATGTATGGATATAAACGTGTAATAAGTGAATATATCGATGTTGTAAAAGCGTACGACCTACTACCTCCTCCACTGACGTCTGCTCACGTCACCACAACACAGGTGTTGCCAAGCTTGCTGCCGGCACTGCCGGTCCTGTTATCGTACAGACGTACACACTTGGGCAGTGAACTTTTATTCAGTAAAATGGTCACACGAGTTACACTGATTAGGCAAACGTATAGTCCATACACTACAGGTTGTGCAGGCATAAAAGCCATTTCTACTCGAATTCCTACAATACGTTTAACAATTAATAATACAACTGACCGAAAATTTTTAAGAAATTTTTTCGCTGAATCGAAGTTTAGTAGATGAAATTCCATTAGCATAACTTAATATATAGTACTAACATTAGTATGTATTAAATGTTATAAATTTCATTTTATGAATAAAATAATAATAAACCTATGCACATGTATATGTATCAAATTATTAGTAAAATCCAACTGACGCCATCTTGACCAACTCCAAGAGTAATAAAATCTCAGAAATACCTTTTGTTTAGTTCACTGAATAATAACCAGACATCAACACTACCCACAAGTTTGACAGGATTTAAGTAAATGTTTTACGTGTTGATGTAACAGCTGTCTTGTTTGTAACATAGTGGTTGGTATATTTTTTTCTTTGTGGTGAAAATGGAGGATATATAAACCGGGTCTTGGACTGGAAGGAGTGTCAGAATCGCTGGGAAGGAAGAAGCCAGTTCAGCCGTAAGTCTTTGTATCCACAATGTCAGTCATTCATAATAGAACTTCATGAATTTGTCGGGGTACAAGTTTTCACAACTCCTTTTACTGAGAATTATTTGGATCTATAAAGTTTTAAGAATGGCGAGTGACATCATTGACATACAAACACGTTGAGGTAGGAAATAATAGTTCCTTTAGGATTTACAAAACTTAACTAAATCGGTCAAGACCCCCTGTAGTATAGTGTATAAATCTCTTGTTTGGAGTTTCAATATGAAGATGAATTAACTGAAGTGGCCAGAAATCTAAAAAAAAAAAAAAGACTTTCGGTGAACATGAAATAACAAATACTGCAGCAGTTATGTGCTAGATGTTTTCTGTGTACTGTACAGTTAAGGTAATATTACTAACCTTGTGATCAGTAATGGGTTATTTCTCTCCCTCTCCTCCAGGTAACTGAGTCAAGAGGCATAATGGTCGACCTTGCGACGGCTTGGCTGGTGCTGGTCGTCATAATGGTGTCACCTGCCGCGACGGACGCTCATGTGCACGGCCCCAACAGCACGGAAGGCGAAACACTTCACACCCACGGCACTTTACACGACCCCCACGACCACCCGATATTCCTTCCTAAACGACCACAACACATGAGCCGCAACTGTTATGACCTGTACAAACGGGGATTCCTGTTAACTGGTCTGTACAACATCTACCCTTACGACTGCTGCCCCGAGCGTCCCGTTCTCGTCTTGTGTGATATGGTTACTGACGGAGGAGGCTGGACCGTCATCCAGCACCGCCACCAACAACCCAGGATTGACTTCTACCGCACCTGGATGGAATACGCCCTCGGTTTTGGTGACTTGGCAGAAGGGGAGTTTTGGCTCGGCCTCGACCACATCCACGCGCTCACTAACCAGGAGGCCAACGAAATCCGCTTTGATCTGGAAGACTTCGACGGTCAAACTCGCTGGGCCAAGTACACCTTCTTCTACGTTCACGACCGAAACAACGACTACAAACTGGAGGTGAACGGCTACATGGGAGATGCTGGAGACTCCTTTAGCACTCACGGTGGTCAGAGATTCTCAGCGAAGGACAAAGACTTCGGCAAAGCGAAATACAACTGTTCTGTGAAGTAGGTGTTTATTATATGTTATGTATGCACACACGGTATGTATACTGTATATTGGTGTATGTTTTTTATGTATATATATATATCTGTGTGTGTGTGTGTGTGTGTGTGTGTGTATGTAAGTATGAAGGAGACCGACTAGACTGTGGCAACTACCGCGGATCTCGCTGCTGTCCCTAGCTGGCAAGATTATCTCCCGAGTCCTCCTAAACAGACTTCTTCCTGGGGCGGAAAACTTCCTCCCAGAATCTCAATGTGCAGAGAACAGCGTCGTGACCTGTACATGGCCTTCATCGACCTAACCAAGGCCTTCGACTCGGTCAACAGGGAAGCCCTCTGGTGGACCCTCAGTTGTTTTGGCTGCCAACCAAAATTCATCGCCATTGTGAGGCAACTCCACGATGGCAGGAATGGCAGTGTCCTGCACAATGGCATTCAGTCTGATTTCTTCCCCATCCAAACGGGGGTTAAACAAGGATTTGTACTGACACCAACTCTCTTTTCCATTTTCTTGGCTGCCTTCCTTACTCGTGCAAGTGCCAATTTAGCCGGCGGGGTGGACAAAGAGTACCGGATGAAGTCTTTTTAATAAGACGACTCCAGACAGGAACAAAGGCGTTGGCAGCTTCCATCACTGAACTTCAGTATGCAGACGACCTCACACTCGTCGCTCACACTGAACGTGACCTACAGGAGATCCTGAACACCTATGCAGATGCGTATGCACACTTTGGTCTTGAGGAGAATGCATGTTACTCAGATTTTCTTTCAGCCTGACCCTGGTTCAGCCGCACCTTCACCATCCACCCAGCTTAACGGTACTACCCTCTATAATGTTACCCACTTTTGGTATCTCGGCTCCCACCTGTCCACCACCGCGGACATCAATGAAGAGATTCAACATCGGATCAAATGTGCATCTCAAGCCTTTGGCAGACTCCGTACCTATGTCTTCAGATGTACAAAGTTGCACGTATATCGAGCAGTGGTCCTTCCCACCCTGCCATATGGCAGCGAGACATGGGTCATATACAGGAGGCACCCCAAGGCACTTGAAAACTTTCACCAACATAGTCTACGTTCCATCCTCTGAGTTCGCTGAGAAGACAAGAGAACAAATGCCAGTATTCTCGCTGGTACCAACTGTAGGAGCATCGAGGCTACCATTATCCATGAACAACTACGTTGTACTGGCCATGTTACCCGCATGGACGACAGTGTACTGCCAAAGCAACTACTGTACAGTCACCTAACGAATGGTAAACATAACACTGACGGGCAAGGGAAAAGGTAAGAAAAATCTGATAAAGTGCCAAATTGACCCCCTCACCTGGAAGGAGCACCACGCGAGGTGTCAATACTTTCGAGTTAGCCTGACTGCATACCGAGGCAAATAAGCGCCAGCGCCAGAAAGATGCTGCCGCCGCCCCTCCCGCACTAGATGTAGTGCCCCACATGTGCAAAATCTGTGGACGACCCTGTCGATCCCGTATCGGCCTCTCGAGTCACCTTAAAGCTCACCAACGAAGGTGACATCCTTAATAACTCATATCATTTTATCATAGCTGCATGATCGCCATACTGGATTCCGAGTGACACAAGGTGGTAGTATGTATGTATGTATGTATGTACGTATGTGAAATATAGAATATATAGGTGAAATAACAAGTTGTTTTGTGACCTACTTACATACCTAAATTTTTCGGTGTTTACAGGTACAAGGGGGCCTGGTGGTATGAGAAGTGTCACAAATCCAACCTGAATGGATTGTATCTGTCTGGCCCTCACGCCTCGTACGCTGACGGGATTAACTGGAAGAGCTGGCGGGGTTACCACTACTCACTCAGAACCACAGCCATGATGATACGACCAGTTGGTACTCATGAGTAACCTGTCCAATCTGGCACTGACTCACCTGCCGACCTGTCCAATCTGGCACTGACTCCCCTGCCGACCTGTCCAATCTGGCACTAACTCACCTGCCGACCTGTCCAATCTGGCACGGACTCACCTGCCGACCTGTCCAACCTAATACTGATTCACCTGCCGACGTGACCAGCTTGGCACTGACTCACCTGCCGACGTGACCAGCTTGGCACTGACTCACCTGCCGACGTGACTAGCTTGGCACTGACCCACCTGCCGACGTGACTAGCTTGGCACTGACTCACCTGCCGACATGACTAGCCTGGTACTGACTCACTAAATTTACTAACTTTTACATCGTTAAACAGGACGAGAAAAAAATCTAAACGACAAATTATCTCACAAAAAAATATTCACATTATGTCTGGTTTGGTTTAATGATGTACAGTGTGTATACGAGACCGAGAACGAAATCCTAAAGGAGATCTTTCATAATTTGAATATTTATGGATCATCTTAAGATTATTCTCCCATCTAATGATTAACCAGCTTAACCAGAAACTATCTAAAGCTGATACCCCAAAAAGCTTAAATTGCCAATGATTTCGATCTAGTTCTCGTTTACTGGTGAGGTTTTTGCCGTTCAAGAAGTCTAGCCGATGTAGACTTTCAATTAGTGCTGAATCAAATGTCATTAACCCAAATATAATTCGAATAAAACTATCGGAAAAAAAATATTGTCTAATTTCATTTTAGACCTTTTGTTCATTTGGGTTGTTACAGGTGTGAGGGAATGTTTCAGATGAGGTAGAGATTAGCCTTGGATATTACCCCGTGTTAGATTAGGTTAGGTTAAATTAGGTTATATGATGGAAAAGTTAGATTAGGTTAAGTTGGTTAGGGAAGCATTAGGTTAAGTTAAAATTAGGGTGTTCCAGCTTATGGTGAGACAAGCTCAGGTGACTTCTTCAGTTTATCCAGGGTTCCTATGTCAATACAATTTTGATCCAACGCGAAAGTGCTTATCGTCGTACTTAAAGATAACGAAACTTCATGTATGAGATAATATTATACCGATAACATATAAGATAATGCAAATATACTAAATCACATGATAATAACAGGGCACTTAAAACAATTGATAGCACATACAGTACAATAATTCCGAGGGTATTCATGAAACCTCCAAATACTGTAATGAATAACAACACCAAGAACTCGAATTCTTCATACAACTAAGGTCAATAAGAATATCATATACAAATTATCCTAAGTTAGGTTAAGTAAAAAGAAAAATACTCGAAACTAGTCAACCATGGACGTCACTGAAGGAAAAATTACAATAGACTTCCTTAGAAAAACGACAATGCTTCAAAGAAATCCCTAAGAAACAAACTTTCTTCTGGTAAAATAAAACGTCGCAAGAAGCAATTTAAGAACACTTGCAACTGCCGAGCTTCTACAGATGGACAAGGGTTGACCTAACTATAACCATCTCACGAGTGCCCTTACCTGGAGCTGGCGGACGCTCGGTGAAGAGGATAAAAGTAAGTCAGCCTAATCATGTTCCTTGAATTAATAGAATAAATAGAAATTCGTCCGTCTTGTTCCACTATTTGTTGTACTGTATTAATTTTGGTAAAGGTTAAGTTTCGAACCATAATCCTTCTGGTGATGAAGCCTAGATTCCCCCGCCAGCCATAACGAGTAATTTCCGACGAAAATCAATATCAAAATCGAATAAAACACATCAAAAACCATCAGAAAAATCAAGGCTTCATCGCCAAAATGATTTTAAGACCTAACCTTACCTAACAAACCTTACCTAACACCTAGCAATGACGTCACGGTCGACACACGATTACAGACATTAAAATATTTGTAACTAATTATGGTCCGAAACTTAATTAATGCCTTAACTTTTTTTGTTATTATGGAAATATTATCTACCGATACTGTACCTATGTAAATACCCTCTGGTGGTTTTGGTGGGTAGTTATAGAGGCAGGACAAGGTGTATCTCCTGACCTGGCAACTCACTTGGCCTCGACTTCACAGCTGATTGAGATAAACAAGTCAACAACAACCATGGCGGCCGTGGTAGGGAGGAGAGGGCTTGTATCCCTTCCCTCTTGGTCAAATAGATTAATATTCTTCAGAAATCTTGCCACAACCTCCATAAAGAGGTCAGAAGCTCCTGCAACGGCTGAGTTCTACACCGACGAACACAAGGAGCTGCAGAGGTCGCTGAAGAAGGTGAGTTAGGATGTGAAGCATTATATAATAGGCCCATAACTAACGCGTGACCAGGCTTATGAATAACCTCACACTGTCAGTATGGCCCTCAAGTAAATGTGAAGAAAACTTAAATATATGGCCACACACCCCAACACTACGTCTTAAACTGAAAAAAAAGAAATATTTTGGCCAAAGTCCAAGTATACTGTGTGAGCAATGACACAGCACTTTTTCTCTGATAACATGACTTTTCTCATGATTCAGTAGCCAAGTCAACTCCTATATACTGAACTAAACACACAATGCACAGGTAGTAGGCAGCTACCAAACAGGGAGGTACTACCTCCTGGGAAGACATTGGAAGCATAATGTGTTGTCTAATGGTAGACCCTACTGCCATATGGCACCACAAAAATTGTGACCAAGTCCCAGGTTGCTGATCTGACTTTCTGCCTCGTTTTTTATTTATTTTTGTATTTCTTTATGGTCTTTATTATGGTAAATTTTCACTAATGCATCGGTCTTTGTTTGGACATTAAAAATATGTTTTTCCGATGGTATTTGATGAGTTTCGAACGAATTTGATATTCATTTCAGCCGGAAATCAATAGTTTTTGAGACCCCCCCACCACCCTACCCATCAATCTTAATGAAACTTTTTTTAGTAAATCACAAATAAAATACCAACAAAACCTAACCCAACCTGACCTAACTATTTTTCTGCAATTGACGTAAAATAATCTCTATCCCAATGTCGGCACAGCTCTTTCCACCTGTTCAGCCATATCTGGTTATTCTGGTACTGAAAAACTTAAGAAGCCAACATGGAGGTAAGGAGCACTGTGCGATGAGTGGTCAGACCTTCTCTTTGAGACGTAAACAACAAATGGCGACACTTGTGACCGACCAAATATAATAATATTGAAAAATTAATATCTTGGTTATCCTTAATTTCAGGCAGAAATATCACAGAAGAAAAGGGTCTTAGAATTGTCTAAACATTACGAAAAACATATTAATAACAGCGAGAGAGAAAGACCGGTTTATGATTGAAATTTCACCACTCTTACTACTACTACTACTACATTTTTGCCCCCCAGGTCCCGATGTGGGTCAGTGACCTGTGCCTGGGTGGGCAAATCCCTGTAAAAAAAAAAAAAAAAAAAATACTTGAACACTCAACACCACATCATCTTGACCATTGGGGTCTGAGAAACACCCTTTGTGACCTCTGCTCTATACAGGGTAAATCTTTTGTGCTACCACTCGCCAGGTGAGGATGGGGTGCACAATAAACTAACTGCTGCCCACAGCAAAAAATAAATTGAATTAGTGGTATTTTATGTGATAGTAAAGTACAGTAATAATAAAATTGTGTACAGATTACAGCAGTAGTAGTAGTATCTTGGTGAGAATTATCCCTGTTGGGATTTATTGCCAACTATGCGTTGACTCTATCAAGGAGGTTCTTGAACTGGTTAACGTTTGTTGCTTGAACAACATACTGATCCAGATTATTCCATTTGTCCACTGCTCGTTGACTGAAAGCGTGTCATCGTTTTTCTTTATTTGCTCTTTGCTTTTATAATGTGTGGTTATGTCCTCTCAAGTTTCCTTGACATATTCGGTCTTGGAAAAATTTATATCTGTCTACATTTTCGTAACCATTCATTATCTTGTATGTCTCGATTGTCTCCTCTACTCCTTTCTTCCAAAGTGGTTAATCCCAATTTTGCCAGAATTTTCTCATATGGTACGATTTTTGTTGCTCTTCTCTGCACTCTCTTAATACTATCAATCTCACCTGTGTCATATGGCATCCACACCTGTACACAATACTCCAAATGAGAATGAATGTAGGTTAAATATAGAGTCTTAAAGAGTTCTTCATTTATATAGGTAAACATTCTCTTAACAAGTCTGAGTGACTGGTTCACCTTTGCAATTGATTCTGCTATATGACTCTTAAACATTAGGTTGTTGCATATCACAACTCCAAGATCCTTTTCTTCCTTTACTCCATCCAGCCTTTGGTTATTCATATAATAATTAATTTGAGGATCATCATTGCCGACATGCATTACAGTACATTTACTTGGGATAAAGGTTAACATGTACTCCTCTGACCAATTGTTCATCAGATTTAAATTTCTCTGCAATCCTGAAATCTCCTCTGCATCCATATTAACCTCTTCAGAGATCTTGGTATCATCGACAAATATTTTACACATTGATGTATCAATTTCAGATGACAGATCATTTATATAGCTTATAAATAATAAGCGGCCAATAACACTTCCCTGTGGCGCACCATTGGTAATGGCTTTCCAGCTGGATTTCACTCCATTTATCACCACCTTCTGCTTTCTACCACTTAGAAAAATTATCAATCCAGTTTATGATTTGGCCTCTAATTCCCAACTTATTTAACTTACCATATACCTGTATATAATTCTCTTATGTGGAACAGAGTCCAAAGCTTTCTGGAAATCACAAAAGACTACAGTACATCAAAATTGTTATTCTCATTATCCCACATACGGTAAGCCAGTCTTCAAAACTTTATAGGAGGTTGGTAAACACGATCTAAATCTTCGGGAGCCATGCTGTTGACGACATATTAACTTACAAATGCTCCTGCAATAGCATTTCTCACAAATTTTTCTAAGATTTTACACACTTGGCATGTCACGCTAATGGGTCTGTAACTGGAGGCCAAGCTATGATCACCTTTCTTATACCAGGGCTACTTTCCATTTGTTTGGAACTTTTCCACTCCAAAGTGATTTTTTATTTTATTTTTTTTACTGGGATTAGCCCACCCGAGCACAGGTCAGTGACCCACATCGGTGCCTGGGGGGTGAAAATGTGATATTATTATTATTATTAATAATTCATAGTAAATAAAATTTATAATGATGATAATAATAATAATAATAATACTATAATAATAATAATAATAATAATAATAATAATAATAAAGAACCATAAAGAAATACAACAAATAAAAAAAAGATCAAAAGTGAGAAACAATATGTGTACTGTATGTTGTGTTGTCAAAGTAAGAGAAACAATTGAGACCCTGCAATTGTGTGTAAATGAGGCAGAAAGTCAGATCAGCAACCTGTGACTTGGTCACAATTTTTGTGATGCCATATGGCAGGAGGGTCTACCATTAGACAATACAGTACGTACATTGTATATACAGTATGTGTTAAAGGACATGCAAGTTAATCAGCTGCTTCTTTCAAAATTCTTGCATGTATTCTGTCTGGCCCCATTCTTTTATTTGGGTTTAAACTCTCTTGCATCCTTTTAACTTGCTCTTTTGTCATGTCATTATTACATGTATATATACTACAGCTTTGAAACAGGACCCATATACTGGAATGGTTCAATAATTTCATCCATGTAAAACATTTTCACAAAATCATTCAAATATAATTATTTTTTCAGTGACACCTTGATTTCAGTTGATTATAGAGTATTGAGTAAATATTCATAGAGTATACTTACATACACAGGTATTCTTGTATTTGACGGGCACAGTCGGCAAGCCGGGGAACTTCCCAGAAGAAGCGACATTATATGTTTTTTCCTTCATAAAGTGAATTAAATGGTAAAATTTAAGGACAGTCACAGATGATAACCAGTGCCTGAGGAAGAATATCTAACCTGACTTTACCTACAGTTGCTTGCTTCAGAGATTGAGCTAACCAATCCTAATTAACCTAAACTAACATTATCTACAGCTGCTTGCTTCAGAGATCAACCTTACCAACCCTAACCTAAACTGAACTAACCTAACTCAGCCTAACCTAACTTTACCTACAGCTGATCGACTCAGAGATCAACCCACACGTGGACCAATGGGAAGCTGAGGGTCAATTTCCCGCCCATGAAGTGTTCGGGAAGTTGGGAAAAGCAGGGTTCCTGGGAGTTTGTAAGCCAGAAGGTTAGTGTGTTGGTGTTTCTTGTAGTCATTTTATACAGATTTTTACTAGGATTATGCAAGGATTAGCAGCCCCTCCCCCCACATCTTCCTCCTCTCATCTTATTTCTCCTTGTCTTATGCCTTTTGTTGATGGAATTCTTTTGTAGGGGATTGGTTTGGCATCTGACTTTCTGTACAGTATCTGGATGAATATTAAACCGAGTTCTTCTTCTAATGATAAATACTCGGCCATCTTTGTTGATGCGTTGTGGTTCCCTCACCTAGTAAAGAAAAATATAGAAAAGGTTATTGATTTTCCTACTACGTATATGGTGTGTGACCTATGAGACACCCTGTACAGTATGGTGTGTGACCTATGAGACACCCTGTACAGTATGGTGTGTGACCTATGAGACACCCTGTACAGTATGGTGTGTGACCTATGAGACACCCTGTACAGTATGGTGTGTGACATTAAGATACTTTACACTTAGAGAAACATTTTCGAGAATTTCACCGTAGTTATAGTCACATGTCACTGTTTAAAGCACAAGGTAATATTTAACTACCATCACTCAGTGCCTCTCCACATTTCAGAGTATGGCGGACTTGGTCTTGACTACAGCTACAGCATGGCCATGTCTGAGGCCTTGGGCACCATTAACTGTGGTGCTATCCCCATGGCCGTGGCTGTCCAGACTGACATGTCAACCCCTGCTTTGGCCAGGTGAAGGAGTTATTTTTTATTTTTGTAAGTCCAGTACAGACCAACTGCCAGAATGGCCAATAAGCTGGTAAAATGATGGATATGATGAATATTTTGATGCCCATCGTCGTTCTTTCCATTTATATGCTGGAGAATGGTCGACTCATTGTCACTGAAATGTTATCAGGAAGTTATTCATGAACTAAACATTGTCTTTTCTATATGTTTTGTTGGTAGAAAAGTCTCTGCTTACACTGTGAGTGTGTGACTGTATTAATGGGTGTGCGAGTGAAAGTGAGCGAGTTCTGCTGTGTTAGGTTAGGTTATGTTATGTTATGTTAGATTTGGTAGATTAGGTTAGTTTACTATTAGACTGGTTAATCATAAGGTGAAATAAGCTTGGGGCTAATCTTCAGGTGATCCATGTCATGTGCTGTACTGTATATTTGTTTGGTTCATTTTTGTGATATACTGTACTACTGTTATGTCATCCCAGGTTTGGAAGCAATTACCTGAAGGAGGAGTTCTTAGCTCCAAGCATCTCTGGGGAAAAGGTATCCTGTCTCGGTGTCAGTGAACCAGGTGCGGGGTCCGACGTGGCCAGCATACAGACCACAGCCAAACGCGATGGGGACGACCTCATCATCAACGGTCAGAAGATGTGGATCACCAACGCATGGCAGGCTGACTGGATCTGTCTCTTGGCGAACACTTCCCAGGGACCAGCTCACCTCAACAAGTCTCTCATCTGTGTCCCCATGAATAGTCCAGGTACCTCAGCTGTGAGAGTTATTGATGAACTGGGAACAGTCCAGGTACTTCAGTTGTGAGAATCCTGGTTGAGGATTAATACATGGAAGGAGGAAAACAATAGTTCAACACATCTAGCAAGAGACTTACAAGAAAGTGAGGGATGGAGAGACTGTTCTCTGTTATCCCGGCCCACATAAAGTATGCCATAATCACGAGGTCATCCAACTGGTGTAGTCCCACCAGTAAGCTACATCAACTTTCACACACATACATGAACCCTATTGAATGCTGGCTTTACTTCTCAAATAACAAAGAAAATATTGTTCCAGCAGCATCTCACCACTTGTTACTCATGAGGGTTAGGTTCTTGAAAACTATCACAAATGTTCAAAGGGGTTAGGTTCCTGGTATAGTATGACTAAATATCGGGGATGATAAAGATATAAGAATAGTGACTACAATAAAAACTATTTGTAGATAATAATAATCTACATAATTTTTAACATTTTTGATGATGATATAAATTATTTAAGGAGTTGTGTGTAACAGTGACACGTGTGTGAAATCTACATTTCAAAAAGTGTGCATCAAAGTTATGAAAACATAGATAGCCATCTGCTATTTTCACATTGTTCTGAAGTTCCACGTGTTTCTGTCTCTTACAAGATTACCCTGACACACAAGGCTGCAAATCACAATCATAGAACTTATGAATGCCAAAAAACTAATTTATGACCAAAAGTTGCAGGAGCTCCACAACTTTAACAAGTGTAACACAGAGTGAGCAAGAAAGTGACTAAATCCGAAAATATACTCTACACTCAGACTGACCCTGATTCAAGCAATATTATTTTCCTTTTTCTTGCTGCAATTACCCTCAAATTATTAATTTTCATATATTTTCTATATAATTAAATAAAATTCCTTACAGGCTGGCTGGCACGGCACCAAACTTTTTTCTCAAATGGTTTAAGTTATGGCATTTTAATTAACAGTACAGTACAAGAAGGTAGCCCATGATTACAATGTATATTAACTATTTATATTTTAGGCATTCATCTGACCAAGAGGATTGACAAGATGGGAATGCGGTCATCTGACACAGCTCAGATATTCTTTGAGGACGTGAGGGTTCCTGCCAAAAATATCATAGGTGATGAAGGAATGGGCTTCACCTACCAGATGTTGCAGGTTAGTGTTTTCAGCATGTCTCCCTTATGTACTACTCCAGTGTTAACATATATTGTTTACTCAAAAGAAAAAGTATCACATTTCCCAGCATATTAGGCACATCCCTATTGATTCTTACTGTGCCTTCTGTCTTAAATTATCTAAAATTAACAGGTCTGCTATGGTTTTTCTTCACTAACTCACAACATCTGAAATTTGCCATTAATCTTCCCACATTCTTTATCGTTAACTTTGTTCTCACTTCTTTTAATTCCCCCCCAGCTGAAAATTTAGGGTGAAATTGTGTCTATGTGTGTAGGTATAACTGCATTGAAACAGAATACATGTAACGATTTATGAATATTTTAGAAATCATAAAATTGTGGGGTTTTGGAAATAAATATTAGATACTAAAAGGTTTTTAAATGACATTACAGCAGCAAATAAGAGGACTAAGTAAATTATATTATTTTCTGTACATAGTTTCAGGAGGAGCGTCTGGCAGGTGCAGTTCTCACTATCCCTCCGATGGATACCTGTATACAGAGCACCATTGCCTACACGAAAGAACGTAAAGCCTTTGGTCAGCCGCTGCTCAACAACCAATGCATCCATTTCCGTCTGGCTGAACTAGAGACAGAAATTGAATGTTTGAGGTCCCTCATCTACAGAGCTACTGGTTAGTTAAAGTGTAGTGGGTGCATGTGTTGTTACTCAGATGTTGTCAGTTTGTCTTTGTGTCCTTGAAATGTTTGGTTTCTGATAAATACTTTTCCATAGACATTTTTTAATTTAGAATTACATGGTACAGGTTTGTATTTACACTAGCCTGCTTGTACCAGATGTGATTAACTGGTCTCCCTCAAGGTCCTGTGAGGGCCATCCTCCAAGGGTCCAGTGTTAGTACAGGAGGACACATGAATACCTGGAGAAAACCTGTCATGCTTGTTAAGTGTCACACTGGACGATGCCCTTTTCACGTGTCACACCTAACTCTCCTCAGATCTGTACGTCGCTGGAGAAGATGTGACAAAATTGGCCTCAATGGCAAAATTGAAGGCTGGTCGGCTAGCTCGTGAGGTGACTGACTCCTGCCTCCAGTTCTGGGGTGGGATGGGCTTTACAAATGAGGTAAGTTGGTGGTAGTGATGTTATGCCAGAGTGCAGTGATGTTATCCTCAATTATAAGGTTTCTTTTTAGTACCTTCAATACTGTATTGAATATGGGTCTTAACTACTTGAGTACTGGGAGGGGGGGTGGGTGTTTGGGCTATATCATCCCCTATGAGTGAAGATATTAAGACCCATACAAAAGACCTAGAAGTGTGAGGGGATTAGTTAAGCTAACTTAACCTATCCTAAGTTAACCTAACCTAGTCTAACCAAACCTTATCCACTCCCCTCAGTGCCTGATAATTCTCTCACTGCCACTCCACCTCCTCACTTCTATATTACCTTTTCTCTGTTCACCCCTCACATTGTTTCTCATGTTCCCCTTGTTCCTACATCACAAGTCTTTCCTTCACTCCCATCTAATAACATCGACTTAAACTCCTGTTCATTACCATCTTGGTCTCTCATAGTGAAGTTCTCTAATCATGTACTTCGTCTCAAAGAAATGTACACTCGCTTTCTTACATGCTTCCGTGTAGATTCCACGAATGCTTATACTACAGTAGCAATATTGTCATCACTCATGTATTACAAGCACTCAGTCCACATATACAAAAATCTATATTAATCTTTGGTTCAACTCATCATTCCATTTCCTTAATCTACAAGTCGGCGAATATTTTTTTTTTAGCTTTTGAATGTTAGTAAATATTTTCACTTTTTTTCTTAATAGTAAAGGTTTACCCCTTGGTGAATTTTTAGCCAAAGATTCATTTTTCTCGAGGAATATGAAATTTTTGTGTTCAACTACAGCTGTTCCTCTATTTAAGAAAGGGAATTGTTCCTAAAATAAAATAAAAACTTATAAAAAAATTATCATACCCAAATATCAAAAGTCAGGGAGGCTTTTCCTATTACAGTAATTCTAAGGAAAAAAAATGTGTTGTGTTGTGGTCAGTCTTCCAACACTTCTCCCAGCTCTACTTAAACAGGTGAATTACAAATGATAATAATCAAGGTAAAAAGATATCAAGTTTACAAATCATAAAACAACAATCCAGTTCCAAGGTAAAGAATAATACTCGTATGCTCGAGAGAAAAACATCCTGGTGTGTACATAGAGGAACGGCTGGACTCTACTTTCATACATTCACAATAAAAAATAAATAAATCGCCAAAAGAAAATTACAGATGGTGAGTAATTTGTGTTGTTAAGAAAATTGAATTACAGTACAGCTATTCCAAAAGTCAGTACAACAAATAATTACCAAAATTACAACTTTTTTTTTACCCTTTTTTTATTTTATGAGCAGCTGAAATTCCTACAAAAAGTCTCTGAACCAAATTGTAGAAGGGGGATCCGTGATTACCTGGGGAGTTGTGACCCAGACGTGTTAACTAAAAGGGCACTTACGTAGGTCCCAGTTGTCACTCTGTAAAGGCAGGTTGCTGCTTGGTGGTGGCATCCAGCCATCAAACCATTTTCAAATTCACCTGATATTATTACAATCTAGAACTGAAAATATTTGTGTCGATTTAGCCTAAAGGTAAAAATTGGCTTTGATTGATACTTAACTTTAACCTCACAGAAAATGTTCTCCCTCATCGTAGGTTTTAATCAGCCGATTCTACCGTTACCTGCGACTGGTGTCAATAGGTGCAGGAGCCGATGAAGTGATGTTGGGTATCATTTGCAAGTGCATGGGTACACTCCCTCAGCTCCCTAAGAACCTTAAATAGATATTCTAATAAGAGCAGAAGGTATTATTTTTCCCTATTCTGGAAGTATACAGTTTGTAAAGTCTCGAATCGTCTGATTAAAATCCCACATAATTTACCAAGTTGTTTTAGGTTTGTGTCATTAATTTTAGATAAACGTCACAAAACATCTTATAACTCATACCAGGATTGTTGTTTCACTGTGGGCTTTATATGTATTCTGACTGACTTATTTATTTAAATTTGCATCGACTGTTTTGCCACAGGTTCTTGTGAGTCGGTTCTTCCGTGACATGCGTCTAGTATCCATCGGTGGGGGAGCGGATGAAGTGATGCTCATGATCATTTGCAAGTACATGGACACACTGCCTCGCCTGCCAAGGAAAAAATAAGTTTTCCACTTATTATTTTCTAACTCAGAAAATATTTGTGGGGCTTCTGTTGGTATTGTCTGTCCAGTGGTTTCCACTTGGTAACTTAGGTTCTACTTGATACGTTGGAACCAAACTTCAGGTATATTCTTACTCACAGTTGATGAATCCCGTCAGATTTGGTGTGATGCATTAAATAGCCCAGAAAGTTCATTAAAGCTTGCCTTTTATTTTCAGAGAAGAAACATCTGTGCTATTTGTTAAGTTCATTGAAACACAAACAGTCATAAAATATTTTGGTATTTCAGAGAGACTTACCATACTGTACGTCCTCCATCCCAGTGATTGAGCAATTGATTCTGGTTAATTACCAATTATAACAATAACCCAACTTGTTAAGAATAATAGTTCTCATATCAATCAACTATAACAATGACCATATATTAGGTGAATCACCTCAACATTAAGTTTACACATTGTCAACTTGTAACATTAAACACAAGAGCTGCCTGATGACTGGGTAAAAAAAAAGTCTTTGAACATCTTTACCCAAACGAGATGCAAGAAAAAGCCACGACCAGAAAACCTTGTACTGTACATAACTGAAGAACATGTGTCCACGTATATGTAGGGGAGGTAAATAGAAGCAGTTAATCATACTAATTCAGGAGTGCTGAAATCTGTCAAGTCACTGTTGCATCAAAGTGTAAATATTTCACTTGGTATAAAATTTTGTACCTTAAGCAGTGCTGTAAATAGATTCATAGATAGCATTAGGTATCAAATTATTTTTTGTATGATTTCATACAGTAATGGATGGGTTGACACAGTTGAATGTATGGATTGTATGTATTACCAAATTAAACTGAGAAAATACTGGTGTGTATTAATATCTCCGTCATACTTGATACACGTTTAAATGATAATGAAGAAAAACTGGGCTGACAAGGCATTTGGGTTGAAGTGAGAATAAAAGTCAACCAAATGTAACAATACCTAACTTTACTTAAATTAACCTAATCTAACCTTACCTAATCTAACCATCCCAACCCACCAGCAAAATCATTTCAGAACTTGTGGTCAGAGGATTTAGTAGGTTGGATAAATACTTATAGGATCACCAAATACATGTATAAGTGCCTTAAAAGGCATTAGGCAGAGTTTGAACTCTATCCAATCTTTAATTGGAAGCCAATGTAATTCAATCAAGAATGGGGTAGTGGGAGAGCAAAAATAAGCCTGGCAATGCTGTTAACACTGTTTGAACTTTCTTCAATAGATAATTAGGAAGGCAGACCCATAAGTGTTACAGTAGACAACCCAAGACAATAAGAGAATCTAAGAGTCACTAGATGCTGTCTATGTAAAACCTGTTTCTCAGCATATAGATTTTGAATATAAAAGTTGCAACTCTTAACCACTGAATTTGTATGCATTTTAAAATTCGGTTTTGAGTCATAGTAAACTCCAAAATCATCTTTGCTATCACCCCTTGTATTTCCTCTGATGACAATCTCTCTTTTGCCACCATTTAGCTTAAGTATTCACCTAGTCATTCAAATCTTAATATCAGCTATCAAGGATTACATTATCACAATATACTCGACATCTATCATTGCACGTAAAGCTGTGTATCATCGACATAGAAATAGTAGGCAACACCATGACCATCTGGCCAGTAACCCATGCCCCTCGTCTATAGCTACAAATAGCCGATTGGTTCCCATTTGTGTTTTACCTCCCCCGGATTGAGCGAGTATAAGTGCATATTTATATTGACCTTTATGATAAATATTTAAAATTTTCTCACTGCTACCAGGTAATGCCTTGAAATCATTTACATTTTGATAGTTCAGATATTTCAACATTATTTTAGATAACTGTCTCCTTACCAGTTATGAACACATTTAGTTTGAATTGTCTATGAACCAATCGGCTATTAGTATAGAAGAGGGGCGTGGCTTACAGGCCAGGTTAGTGAGGGAATACTGTACGATAGAATGTATTGGTAAAGGCTAAGCAGAAGTGGTCCCAAAACTGATCCCTGTGGGACTCCAAAACATGCTAATGGACTGGGTCTGAAATGATTCCACTAACCATCATACAACGAGATTGCTCTGACAAATAAGACTCGAGCAGTGAGTGAATAATCACGGACACTGAACAACCAAAGATCCTTAAGCAACAGATGATCCACCGTGTCAAAGGCTGCAGACACTTAACTGTGCAAGTGATTATTACCGAATCATTATTAATTTTACAAAAGTCAGTTTCAGTTGAATGATGTTTCCTATAGTCTGACTGGACCAGAGGGATCACTCATTTCGGAAGTAAGTGATCCAGCTTAACACAGTATGATCTTTGATAAGAATGGGAGGATTGGAGACGATAATCTTACATTTTCAATATCAAGATCAGGTCTTTTAAAATGTGGATACAATAAAGCCTGTTTCTCAGATAAAAAAATTACCTCTACAAAACATTTATTTAGGATATTACAAATAAAGTCTGCAGCATGTTCATAAATGAGTTGTACCTCAGATACATTTGTAGGATCCGGACAAAAAAATTCTTCTTTGAATCCTTGATATATCTATGTACTGTATGAATGTATGTACAGCATGTATGTATAGCATGTATTATTATTATTGCATGTATGTATGTATAGTATGTATATAGATGGTGAAAAAACAAAATATCTATAGGCAACTGTAAATATTAGTACATGGATAAAGAATTTAGACAATACTTGATGTTCAGAGTTTATTTAAAGATTCCGCTATATTACAAATGCATTTATAAAGTACAATAAACATAGTCAAAAGATTGGTGCCTTAACCTAATACAGTGGCCCCTCGGTTAACGAGTTACCTTCCAGAAGATTCTTAACTTCGGTTAACGAGCAATCCCTCGATTAACGAGTTTCTTATGAGCTGACCTGAACATGTTTTCGCTTCTAGGGTTTAAATTCCTTACCATTTTAGTAAATATCAAGAAGTTTATACTATTCAATAATTTTAAAAGTTTATTAAATTTTTAGTAATTTTAACAATTATTGAACATGCCATCCAGCCTGCCAACACACCATACAGGCGTCAGTCTTTGTGTCTTTTCAGTGGAGGTAACATCTTGCTTGAGACTCTTCAACTAAATGCTTTTTTTCTGGTTTGCAAGCAAATTATTGGTCATTTTGAAATTTATTTTATATATTGACAATATATAATGCAGTGCAGTGTTGATTTAAAGAACATAATCTTGAATTACACCAAGAGAACTAAAATTTTATGGGTGAAATGGCGCCATGGGGTGACTTCTCTTCCACCCCAATGCCTTCTCTTCTTCCTTCTCCACCCCCATTCTAATTCCCATCATCATCATCATCCAGGAGCCTTCTACATACACACCTCAAAGTAAGTGTACTTTTCTACCTTTTTTGTTGAATTTAGGCAATTTTCGGTGAGCTGGAACCAATTACCCCAAAACCCATTGAAACAATGGTTTCGGTTAACGAGCAACCGTCTAGAATGCATTGTGTTCGTTAACCGAGGGACCAGTGTATACACAGTTCTATAAGGTCACTGTACAAAGTTCGGAATGTGTGTAAAGACATTTTGAAGCATTATCCTCATCTTCAACAACCAACTATTTTGTGTGTTGAAATGTTCATCAATCAATGAAATGAACCTAAGCGTTCGTGTTACTTGTCCCACCTTGAATTTAGTAAAGATAGTCGCACGTTGACTTCATAGATCAACCTGATCAATAAGTTGACCATTTCCAATTCTTCACCTCTGGTGTACCTGATAATGCACTTCACGGCCCTTATTCCAGTAGGACTTTTATACACAGGTTCCTTCATTAGTCCGGCGAGTTCCTCCAAGGTAAACATTGGAAAAAGTACAGGGTCATGGACAGTCTTCAGACCTGTGGTTATTAAAGAGACCACGCTGGCGTGGGGCTCATTCTCCCCATTCATGCTCTCATCACTATCGGTCTCGCTCTGGCTATTCACCCCCAGGTTGGCATCATTAACTTGAGGGTGAGTAGCGAGACCGATAGTGATGAAAGCATGAATGGGGAGAATGAGCCCCACGCCATAATAGTGGTTTAAACTTTTAGGCCCCTGATATATACTATACATTTTTCTCAAGGAAGTATTATGTAACATCTGGAAAGTACAGTAGCATGGTGGTAATAAGAACATCTCATAATGTTACCACGGTTATCACTTCAATATTTATTTATTTTATTTATTTATTATTATTATTATTATTTTTATTATAAATATATACATAAATTATAGTGGAACATGGGTTGTACAGTGTTAAGGTTTAACAAGAGGACAGAGCTGTCAGGATTATGTCTAGTTGGCAAATACTGTGTGTTTATTGCAATGGTAATTTCTTATCTATTTACGTGATAATTTCCAATAAAACGGTTTTGATGTAACAATAAAAGCAGGTACTGTAAATATAGGAGGTATTACTGTCATGGTCACGTTGACTGCTGATCTATTTAACCAACGATTCTTATTAAACTCCACGACCGCAAAACATGAGTGAGTTAGCGACCCCTGAGAAGACGTGTTTTCCCCATAGACGCTACACTTGTGTTCCCTCCCAGAGTCCCGCCTTTGTGAAGACAGTTATCAATGCATTGTTATTCCACAGAGAGCCAGGCGGAGGGAACTGTGAGTAAGGAAACACACAATAAGGTGCTGTTTCAAAATATTTGCACAGAGGTTCTGAAGATTCCATCAACCCCTCAGGATGTGAGGAGGCTGGGACAAAAGCAGGGGGCTAAGCCTCGCCCCCTCAGGATCACACTAGTGAGTGAGGAGGAGAAATGGCAAGTTATTCGGCAGGCAAAAAACTTAGCAAGGAGCGAGGCATTTCGGGATGTATTCATTCACCCAGACCGCACGGTAATGCAGAGGGAACAGCACAAGAAGCTCCTGCAGGACTTGAAGCAGAAGAGGGAGGAGTCGAGGAGGAACGGGGACAGGTGTACATGGGTTATACTCAGGGGGAGGGTAGTGGAAACAAGTGTGCCGACACAGGGCCAGGGGGCAGCAGTGCACCCTCCACCCACTCAACCCCCCACCCGGGAGGCGGCACCAGCTCAGCCTACCGGACAGGAGGGAACGAGCGCCGTGTAAACAATGACATTTCTAACCACACCCTGCAAAATACAGTTTGCTTAGCAAATGCTGCAGCTTCTGAGAATGTGGGGGGAGCGGGTTTATTACTAAGAGCAGAGACGTTACCGAGAACAAATTCTGGCTTGAATGTCATGTATAGGTACACTAATACTGACACGTTCCTTGATAAGAGAGGAGTTTGAAACACTACTAAGAGTACACCAACCAGATATTGTAGGAGTTGTAGAACTGTAGAACAGGAGAATCGACCCTGTAGTGATGGGTTGTCAGACCACAGCTTACATCTCAGAAACTCCAGTCTGACCCGACATTAGGGAGGTCAAGTGTAGGGTAACTCACACGGCCCCACCTGATGACTTCTCCAGAAGATATAACTTATAGTCTCTGAAAACAGTCCAGACTTGACCCGACATTAGGGAGGTCAAGTGTAGGGTAACTCTCACGGTTGACCAAGGATTGTAAATCAGCCAGGCTCCCCTCCCATGTTACACATGTAAGGGGGCACCGGCAGGCTCTCTCCCAATATACACACGGCCCCACCTGATGACTTTCCCAGAAGATAAAACTTATAGTTTCTGAAAAAGTCCAGACCTGACCTCACCTTGGCCAGGTCAAATGTAAGGAGACCCTTCGCCGCCCCCACCCCCCCGACCAGCTGAACCTGACGGCTCGCATCCCAATATATAGGACGTCCTAGTCCTCCCTCAGGGAATTTA